GACCAGTGTAAAATCACTGGGTTGCTACCGATCAATCAGAATAGAATTTACGCCAAAATTACAGGGGATTGTTCTGTTGTTTAATATAATGTCATGACGTGATTTGGACTATGATATAATGCGCAAGCGCTTAGTTAAGAATAGAGTGGGTTTTTCCAAACCACCTAAAATAGCAGCGCGTTTGCTATACAAGCCGGAAGCAATACTCTGCTTGAGTAACTTACTACTTGGAAATAAGGTATTTCATACATTTAAAGATATAATATAATACGAAATCTTTTGCGGTAGTACAATTTAGAATCCAGGTATTAAGGTTAGTTTTTGTGTGTTTATTTTTACCATATTAATTAGCAGGATAGTAGCAATGGCGGCCTCAGACAAGGTGACCTATATATCCTGTGTACAGTCACAGAGTTGTTACCGATAAATCAGAATATAATGTACGCTACAATGACAGGGGATTCTTCTGTTGTTTAATATGTAAAACATAGATTTCTTCCGAATCCAGAATATATCATGTCAATTCCAGCATACGTACTGATGGACGACGTAAATAGTTTAAATTAATAATCTTACGGTAGCTGTGTTCGTGATAAAATGTTTAACCCAGATTACACACAGTGTTGGTAAAACTAATTTAATCTTGACCCGACAATTAAATCTCATCTTATGACTCATAACTAGAGATGCAATTATAGGAGGCTTCCAAGCAGAAATTTTACCACAAATTACAACAAATGTATTCGCAATTAAATTTATGGTTTCAATTCAAATTTTAAAAGTATGCTGAGGCAAGCAGACCCAATTCAATGGCAGTGACTGTCGCCATGGAAACGACAACAAACATTCGCGTCGTTATAAACATTATGAGTGTGTTCAAAGAATCCCGTTCTCTTACTCGGAAACCAACTTTTATCTGATTGCAGACTGAAAGCTCATCTGCATACCAAAGATTCGGTCTTTCAGCGTTGTTAACATACAATGAGCTATAAATATATGTACCATGTAACATGGTTGGTCTGAATCTGATTGACTGAAACAAAGTCTAGTATCTGACACTAAAAGACCTGCGATATTGGTTCAAATGTCTCACTGAATCGAGATCGCACGACTGCGAGCACTATTGATGAAAAATGCTTAAAACAAGTAAACCTGGTGTAAGTACTAATACCAATTAAAATTGAATTAGTAATAAAGGTGGTAAACTTTTCGTGCGGAACGTGTGCGTTCATTGCAACATAGCGTTTGAAGCGAACACGTGACGTCGTCGATGCGTTCGTCGCTCTGTCACTTCTATTTTGTTATCTTGAATATAACAGAAGAATAAATATATGTGGCGTTCACATCAGAGTTCTCGGCACGTGCCGTAATTCGTGTATGAACGGTCGGGACCGAGATCGAGTTTTTACCTGCACGTACCGATCATTTATAAGGACCGCAACTCGGCACGTGCCGAGATTTGCTGCACGGACGCTCGACACGAACCGAAATCACGCCCTCGATGGTGAATTTAAGAGAACATACAATAGTTCATACAAGTACGACATATGTTACGGTATGTACTGCTGCAACAGTTTTCTTTTCCTTGCAAAGCTCCACCGACGTGAAAACATAATTGTTTCGTGAATCTTTTTTGCCGTTCATTTGCACGATAACAAATACCACATTATCATATACCTCGTATTGCTTGATACACCCAGCGACACCGATGCCAGCTGACTGTGACAATACTGTCTCCACGGAAGATCATCGGCGCATTTCAGATATTCTTAGTTGAGCTACGCCAGAATCTAGAACTGTAAACCAAACTACTTCTTGTCAAGCAATTTTTTCTCGTTCACCGACTACATTTTTTTAACAACTGTAAAATCAACGTGTCTCTACCTGTGGCTACAACATCAGCTTCTAGAAAACGCCCGTTTTTCGGATGGTCAGTAAACCAGACCAACTCAGCTGGACTGTAGCGTTCATTCTTAAGAAAGAAAGTTTATAATGAGTTCGTATTTATTACCGTTAAAATATTGTTATAAATTTACGTTCATTTGCTGTTTCATTAAAACGTAATTTGTGGATATATTTGGTAACATTCGTTTGTGTATTGTGTGAGAATTGTTGCCGCGTTTGCGTCTTTTAGAATCCCCCGTATAAATCCGCGCCAGTAAAACGGCATGTATCGACCCCGGATAAAATCGAATAGGGTTTCTTTTGGGCCAGACGATCGAAAAATAACACAACTAAAGACTAATGTATATGATAAAACCTTTATGGATTGGATACGGCTTTTGCTGCCCTCGATTGTACAGCTTCGGGCGCTTCCGCCGCATGACCTCGGGCCGCAAAAGCCGTATTCAGTCCATAAAGAATAATAGCAAATGGATATAAGTTCGACATTGCATTACTACTATCATCATATGCGCATCGTTTAACAGATCAACGAATTAGTGCGTCATATGAGATTATTATGAGAATACCACAGAGAACGGCCAAAAAAAACATAATTTGTTGAG